TAAAATTTGGATATAGTTCCCATATATATCCTTAATCCGATTTCAGGTTTATTGTGCAAATAATGGCTAATATCAGCCCAAATGTGGTGAATTTCGTTACCTACGTTTCCATTTTGTGTAACTCCGCTCCGATATATATTTCTTAATATAATCCTTCTTTTAGTGATATCATGCACACTACAGGGTGAGATAAAAAACTGCAACAAAGTCAAACGCCATAATTCATTTCATATTTTTTAATTTTATTGAATGATAGCAAAAAATGAATGAATAACATCAAATTTTAGCATAAGTTTAGATTTGTGGTATTTTGGGCCATTCCGGGCAAGCGCTAGCTTGAGGTATTTTTTAGTGCACCCTTGCTTTCCAAGATACTCTGGACACAATAATCCAACGCATTGGTATCCGGAGATTTTGATGGTCATTGTGTGCTGAAAATGAAGCGAGGAACCTCATTTTGTAACCATTCTTGGGTGGCGCATGCTGACTGCTATGGTGCTGAGTCCTGTTGGAATATCCAAGATCTGCGGCCAAAATGTTTGCGTGTCCAAGGCTTTATTCTGATGCCACGGTGGATTAATACGAGCGGAGAGCGACCATCGGCTGTTTTGGCGGCCCCACCATCACCATGGCCGGCGCTTGAGTTCTGGTGGCCAACTGAAGGTGCACATTTTCAGCTGACCTCTTCGGCAAGTAAACACGATCATTTTGTTTGTTTACAAACTGCTGGACAACGAATGTTTCTCATCGGAGAAAACCAAACTCGGCAGTTCACCACTTTCGGCCAACTGCCCCTTCGAAGCAACTTTTTAACTCCTTTGAGTCTATTTTCTTTCTGTTGCGAGCCCCGAGATCATTTTTCAATATTTCCCGAAGGGAATATTGCGATATGTTCAGCTCACGAGCTATTTTTCGGTCACTGCGATGCGGGTTTCGATCAAGTCGCTTCTTTACTTTTCGAACCATTTCTGTTGATGTTGCTGTTTTCTTCCGTCCACTTCTTTAACGTCGGGCTACGCTACCAGTATCATGGTAACAAACGATGATCAGAGACGCAAAAGATTTATTCACATTTAAATGCTGGCGTGCTCTAACGATAGCCACTTGTGGTTTTCCAACCAAATATAAAGTAAAGTAATATAAAGTAAATTCCATCACGAATTACTTTTTTCCTGGAAAATTCTCACCAGAATGATTTTGTGCGCTTTTAAACAATATTATGAGCTGTTACTGGAATAATTTTAAAAGCTGTCTGAACTTGGTTGTAGTTTTTTCATCTCACCTATAATATTAGCTTTAGTATTTGGAAAAGGGAAGCCGAAAATCTGAAATTTGGAATACACGTTTTGGAACAATGCGTGAGCCAAAAGAACTTAAATGCGCTAAGTTTGGTACGAGATAAAACAAGTAAGCAAATACTATAGTCGTGCGGGACCGATCATGTGATACCCTACAACACTACAATATGTTAGAAGTCCTCTTATGTCCAAATCCATTGCGGAAGATTTCGCTTTTGAAGTTATGTCAATATATTACCCATAGTTTCTTTGACCAGGGACATTTGCCCAATACTTACGCACTCCATCGTGCTGCTAGTTACAGCTAAATATAATCCAATGGTCATCGAATAATTGTGTGATCAGGAAAACTTTTCTGTTTTTGGTTCATTTGAACACCTAAATATTTTGCGATCATATTCAAATGCAAGATGCCCCTCTGTATCTCAAAATGTAGACGCGTCTATAGCATTTTCATATTAAATGAAACCTTTTGCAATTCAAATGAAACTTTTTGCAGCGGAAGTGAAACCTTTTGCAGTGGAATTGAAACCTTTTGCAGGGGAAATGAAACCTTTTGCAGTGGAAATGAAACCTTTTGCAGCGGAAATGAAACCTTTTGCAACCGAAATGAAACCATTTGCAACTGGAATGAAACTTTTTGCAAATCAAATGAAACTTTAAAATTTATAGAAGGAACAATAACAAAACATTTTTATTTTTAGTAGTTTTTAAATTAAATCAATTAAAAATTTATAATAATATAACTAATATACTGACAAGAGGATTTTTTATTGATTATAAATATCTACATTTATTTATATCATTTCTTAAATTTTCAATTATTGTAATAACAAATGGTTCTTTATTGATTTGATATATAATGCTTCCATATTATTAAATTCCAAATGCTTAACGCTAAAAAGAGAAGTTTAAACAAATTTTGCCCTTTATAGGTATGGCCAGGACTGAAATGTGAAATTAAGCTTTATCACAATTTGTTATAGTTATAATATACTATGAATCTTACCTAATAAAGGATTCCCGCTTCGCAGCTTTATTGATTATGGAGATAGAGCAGTCGTGATTTCAATAGACAGATAAGTGGAAATTCTAAACCTACTAAAAATAAGAATGTTTTGTTATTTTTCCTTCTAAAAATCTAAAAGTTTCATTTGATTTGCAAAAAGTTTCATTTGATTTGCAAAAAGTTTCATTTCGGTTGCAAAAGGTTTCATTCCCGCTGCAAAAGGTTTCATTTCCACTGCAAAAGGTTTCATTTCCACTGCAAAAGGTTTCAATTCCACTGCAAAAGGTTTCATTCCCGCTGCAAAAAGTTTCTTTTGAATTGCAAAAGGTTTCATTTAATCTGAAAATGCTATATATGATTGGCTTGTCTACGATGTTTCGCTACATTCGGCAACGAAATCAGCATGAAAAGCCAGAAGTTTGCGTTTCGGTAGAATAGAAATGTTTATAACGGTGGCAAAATCAGGAACTTTTATTGTTGTTGGCCCATTTCAACACCTAAATACATTGCGAACATCTTTAAAAGCAAAAGGCCTAGCACTTCTGAGAATAACTCTACCCTTCTGAAGTCGGACGATAATTGCAATCTGTATATAATAACCCCAACCTGTGTTGTCAAGGGAAAAAATATTACAAAATATACACTTCAATATTATAAGTCAAATTGAAAAAATCGCATGCGATAAAATATATGAAAAATATATATTTCACAAAATCCTACAAAATATATATTAACATCATAACTGATATCTTTTTATGCGATTTTTTTAGATTTTATTCTTTTATGACAAGAGGGCTTTCTAAATTGACAAAATTTGTCAAAATCGGTCCAGCCATTCTTGAGATATAAGCATTCTAACTAACATCCCCTTCCTTTGTATATACACATTGTATATATTTCGCTATATATATCCGATATATTTACTATCAGCATCTACGTAACGGTCAGAATTGACCTGTTCGTCTATTTGTGATTTCGCCGGGATTAAAAATATTCGTGGTACAATTGAAAATTAGGGTCCATTTCACCACCTAAATATTGCCCGATGACCATTCAAATTGGAAGGCTTTTGCCCAGCCCTAAACTCTAGACCCATGCTAAATTCCGCATCGATTGGTCTATAATTGCGATGTGTAAAGCAACTGAAAAATTAGGACATTTTTCAATTTTTGGTCCATTTTAACCCCTAACTATTTTGCGATCATCTTCAAAAATAATAGGTTTCTATTCTGACTCTAACCCCATCTTTCAATTTCATGAGGATCGGGCCATAATTGCGACCTGTAGAGTGATTACAAATTAACATGGACAGACGGACGTACCGATATACAGAGCTAGATCGACTCAGCTCGGCGAGATAGGAAACAATTATTTCGAGGTGTTACATAATTTTTGGCCCAATCAAACTTATACTATACCCAACACATAGTGTTGTAGGGTATAAACACACATAAAGTTACTTAATATAACTTTCTTTTCCCGCATTCGAACTAACGGGTATTTCCTAGTTTGATTATAAACATAGCCCATTGCGATTATTATATAAATCTACCTTGCTATATTCTATGCAATATAGGCCTTGATGTACTTCTGTTTTTCTTTTAAAATTTGAATTTTCAAAATATGGGAAGACTGGTCAGAAGAATACTCCAGGATTGCAGAGCACAGTAATTCCCACTTCATCAAAATTTTCACCAAACCAGAAAGAACCCCCTGGTATAAAAAATCCAAATTACACCCTGACGACCAGAAGATGATGAATCGAATTTTGTCCAACCATACATTCAGCAAGAGCACCCTTTATAAAATGAATGCGGTACCCTCAGCCGACTGCGAAACATGCAACGCAGAAGAAACCATTTTACACATATTGTTCAGTTGCACCAAACATGACAACATCAGAAGCAAGTACAAATCCTTCAATGGAATCTTCACCGTCGAAGATTTCATAGCCAAACATCACTGGGAACACCTGCATGATATGGTCAAGTTCATAAAAGAAACAGCATCGCAAATATAACATGAAGGCACACAGACAAAGTCTGTTTTTTCGTGTGGCAATATACCTCCTACCTCTCCAAAAGAGAGTTCGCCAATTATCACCCCCTTTTTTTCCCCCCTATTTAGCTCCCAAAGCGCTTAGGGATTTTAAAAATAAAAAAAAAAAATTGAATTTTTCAATTGAAACAATTGTCAGAGCTGATAATTTCTCAACATTATTTTTTATACTATTAGCAGTTGCAAGGACCAAAATAAAGTAAATGGTGCAAATTTAAATATTGTCTGCCGAAATCTTACTTTTTGCATTGCATTGTTTCATATATCCGAAAAATGCAAAATAAAGAAATTCCAAAAAGGTATACATATTTCATAAATTAATGTCTCTAAATATTTTAGCAAATAAAAATAGCCTATTTCTTGTTACAGCTCTGAAATGCTACATTCTTTGTGGCAAATATTAACTAAATCACAGCCCGCATTGACACATGCTGAGGACTGTTTGTGTTCCCTACCCTCCGTAATGAGTTTCAAGATAAACTTTTTGTTTTAACACAAATCCAATTACTTAAATGTGTCCAACATTAGGAGTTGAATATAACGAATTACTGCCAGCAAGAAGAAAAAAAAACTAATTAAAATTAACATCTAATTAATCTAGCTAATTTAACATTTTGTTGCGCTCTCATTTACAGCGGAAAAACAAACGCACCGAGTGAGGCCATAAAACTGTCACGACAACATCTGTGTTAATGAATGGAAAAAGAAGGCGCCTTTTAAACACTTACAAATCGTGTTTTGTGAATGGCAACCAACTGTTGAACGGGATACAGCGGAATGGAATGAATGCTGAATGCAAAGCAACTACAGCAATAGCGACAGGACATTTTGCTTCCGTTTGCCGACAAACGTGCTTCCACCACAAAAAGCGCTCGGGCCCGCAGGAGAAGATTGCATAAACGGCGATTGTGGTTGTATTCGTTGTTGCATTTAATCCCTTTTAGAAGATAGTCACCATGAATGTCACTGAGCTCAAGTGTTGGGATTATTGTTTTTGAGTTCCGTTTCCGCCCTCAGTCCTAGCACATCGTGTCGGCAATGAATTGTGTTTATACGTGGCCACAAGTTTTTCGCAGTGTTGAACGGCAGCGGCAACAGCACACAAGTGCCTACGTCTGTATGTAAATCGCGAAAAGCTAAACTGTGCTTTAATCTGTGAATAGAAAACGACAACAACGACAACGGCAGCGACAAGAGAGGAGGACATCAGCTATTCACTTTTGCATAAAAAGCTAAATCAAATGAAATTATTGAATACAAAGAGAAACGAGCAAATATCAAAAACCTCCGATACCAACAACAACTACAACGACATCGTAGAAAATTGTTTCCTTGAGCCAAACATCTGTCACGGCTATTCAGCCATCAATGACATGCCAAACAATCTAATAAGGATTTCATTATCCTCTAAAGCGTTTCAATAGAATTGCGCTGTTTTGAGCTGAACACCATCGTTGGTACGTTGGGCGCCATATGCAGCATGGGGGCAGCAAATTCATCAAATCGTTCAGATAATAGTCTTTATAATGATGATGATGGTAAGTACTAATATCACAGAGACATAAAGCTTATGAATGAAATGTACACACAGTATGACATTCTACAAATTGACAATTTCGTAGGAAAATAAAACAAGATTTTCCAAAAATAACCAATATTGCCTGAACAAAGTGGATCTTCGAAAGTGATAAGAAGTCGATAATGTTTTGACGAATGTTTTTGATAAGTACATCAAGCAGAGGTTTTACTGTTGTCAAAATGTACTTACCATTACACCATTTCGAATGTGAAATTGCAATAAGGCAGCATGAGAACAAGTGCCCGATACTTCTTCAATGAAATATCCACCTTATAATTTAGATTCGTTCCAAAAGTTCGTGCTATGTCTTTTTGTATCCTATAGTATATATATTCTTGATCATCGTAAAATTCTAAGACGAATTAGCCCTGTTCGTCTGTCACGCCCCAGTCAAAACGAATGACGATAGGAAGCTAAAATTTTGCACGGATCTGTCTTTTGTCTGCAGGCAGGTCAAGTTCAAAGATGGGCTACATCGGTTCACGATGGTACCCCCATATTCGGTATTTTGATAATTGTAGCCATATTTTTCAATGGAATTGCCTAAAAATCCACACAAAAAGTTCTTTTTGAGTACGTTATCCCCTTTAAGAGAATTGTCTATACAGGTCCACGATATCTAATACCCCCCATAAAAAGGTACCCCCCAATTCGGTATTTTGATTATTTTGCCAAATTTTCAATCGAATTGTCTGAAAATCCACACCAGGACTTCTTTGTAAGTACTTTATTCCCTAGAAGAGAATTGTCTATAAGGGTCCATGATTTTGTATAGCCCCATACAACATTTTAGCCACATTTTTCAACGGAATTGTCTGAAAATCCTCGCAAGGAATTCCTTGTGAGTACTTTACTCCCTAGAAGAGAATTGTCTATATACGTCCACAATATAGTATACACCCCATATAACGGTACTTCCCGATATTCTGTATTTTGATTATTTCAGCCAATTTTTACTTTACCCCCCTTATATTACCCCTACAAGAGAATTTTTTAAATAGGTCCACATTTTAGCATAGCGCTCATACAACGGTACCCCCAGATATTCAAAATGTTCATGATTTTTGCGATATTATTTACCGGAATTGTTTTAAAATTTCGTATTTAAAATTTAGAACCGTTAATACAGTATAGCCTCCATATAACGATTTTTATTTGAACGGTATTTTTCGACGGATTTTTTTTTCAAGTTTCTTCCAAATGGTGGAGGGTATAAAAAGTTCAGCCCGGCCGAACTTAGCTGCTTTCTTATTTATTAGTTCTCAAAATTCACAACCACCTTTATATCTCATACCAATACAGATTGCAATATCAAATTCTCTATTACCAAATTAGTACCGTTTAGTACAAATATAGTACGTACTACAGACACCAACAGTGACATCCATATCAAATTTCAGGATTTCATCTCTGTTCCTTCATCTGATACCCAATTAAATACCACTTAGTACTTTTCGAACATTTACAGTACACATTTCCATAACCACCTCCATATCTTAACCACATGTCACCAACAGTGACATCCAGGCAGGACGTTAGTTCTATCTCGTCACCCAATACCAAATTTAATACTTTTTTAACAATAATAATAAGCATTTAAAAAAAAACTCCGTACTTTAACCATAGATACCAACAGTAACCATAACATCAAATTTCACCCATTACCAAATTTAGTACAATTATTGCACGCATATCCATCCTAATACCAAATCTCAAACTGCAAACACTACCAAATATAGTACTGCAAATATACATACTGCACACATTTCCAAAACCACCTCTTTATCACAAACATACAATCGACGGGAACACCAACATACAATTTCAAAATTCTACCTTCATCCGTACACCCTAAACCAAACCATATAACGTCACCTCCCTATATTCGGTATTTTAATGACTTGGGCGACAATGCTCGACTTCATTGCTTCAAAGTTGCTATTTGGTGTTGACAATAGGTACTATCTTATAGAAAATTATGTACATAAGCCCACATATAACTGTACCAAACCATATTCGGCATTTTGATGATTGACGTCACATTTTTGGAAGGAATTGTACCCCAATACCATTAATACCATTACTTTCTGACATTCGGAATTTCTCAAAATTAGTGTTAGCAGTTTACAATATGCCTTCTCTGGTAGATAATTGGCTGTGGAAATCCATGCTTTCCTATAGCCCCATATAACTATACCACCCGTTATTTGATATTTTAATTATTTTATCGAACTTTTTCTAATCAGATTTTTTTTTTTTTTTTTTTTTTTTGAAACTATGCCAGTTTAAAATAAATACGAATAAAAAATATAAATACAAAAAATAAATATCGATTATTCAAAATGCATTGCAGTTCTGCTTTCTATACACTTTCTCTCAGATGGAATTGGTGTAACCCTCATTTTCCTCTCCTTCGTCATTCAACATCATCGCCGCCTGTTTAAAATCCATTCTTGGCCATGAGTGCCGGGCCATTTGTTGTAAATGACATACTTCATGTTGGAATTTGCCTTGAGCTATGTCGAGAAGAGGGGGAAAGCGTGTCGTTTAACATTCAGAGAATTCTGTTTAACATGAAAACTGTCATCATTTGAAAGGAACAAATGTCTGTTTTGTTCACTTTAAGCGAAACACCATCCTGAAGATGAGCATACCGAATATTTCGTTTACACAAAGGTTGGTCGGTCTATCACTAGAAAAGAATAAATGCGGAATTTAGCAACGAGCACAAACAAAACTCGTATGTTATTCCCTCAATTCGTTAAGAGAAAAATAAAATATTACCTGCTGAGCTCGTAAATACTGTAAGTCCATTTTTTAAAAGAATTTAAATTTTAGTGTATACGTACTTAAAAAAATATACGTCACTTAAAAAAGAAATAGTTTTCCTTCGAAGTTTTGCTATATCATACACAGTTGTTAGTAAATATTTTGTTTTAGAAGTTTTATTTTTTACTTTCAGTGTGGCAGACTAGATTTTTGTATGTATACAAGATTAATATCTTAAATCATCAAAAAATCAAATATTGGAAGGTACAGTTGTATGGGGACTAGACAAAGATTTGGAATTGTACAGACAATTTTTTCGACATAGAAGGTAGTGCCCCAATCGTAGACAAATTCCGAGAAAAGTGTGACACAAATCATCAAAATACAGAATATCGGCAGGTTCAGTTATATGGGGGCTATACCTAAACGTATACTTACGTGGCCCATTTCAAATTTTACGGACCTTAAATACATCTGAGCATTCGTTCGGAAGCTAGAGTGATTTCCACAGACGAACGGACATAGTTGAATCCGCATAGAATTGTATGCTGATGTAGATGTGGTAATTGTCATAAAGAACTGCCCAGAAGTTACCCTTAGCTTTTCGACCGGGGGCATTTGCCCAATATTTGCGCACTCGTTGTTAGGTAATTACCACAATTTCAGACGAAAGTTGTGGTCCTTTTTACAGCTAAATATAATCCAATGGTCATCCAAAATGTTAGAATTCCTGTCCTTAACTCTCTCCCCATGCTAAATTCCATGTCGATTCGTCTCCAATTGTGACCTGTAGAGCGACTGCAAAAACAGGAAAATTTTAGTTTTTTTTTAATCAATTTGAAGCATAAATGTACACTGACACTAACCGTACTCCATGCTAAATTTCATGAGGATTGAACGGTAATTACGACCTGTATATAATATTCTCAACACCTAGTGTTGGGGGTGAAGACATTTAGAAAATGTACAATTCAAAATTGTAAATCAAATAAAAAAAAAATGCATGCGATAAAAAATTTGACAAATTAAAAAAAAAGAATAACAAAATATTTATTTTGTCGTATTTTTAAGCGGTTGTCTTAGATTTTATCCTTTTCTGACAAAATACCATTCCGAATAGAGGAGAATTGTGAAAATCTGTCCAGCGGTTCATTCCGTTGTGACACCTCGAAATATACATTTAAGACCCCACAAAGTATATATATATTCTTGATCAGCATAAAATTCTATGTCGATTTAGCAATGTCCGTCCGTCTGTCCGTCTGTGGAAATCGCTCTAGCTTCCGAACGAAATGAGGTAGGATGATATGATGATATGATTTTTACTCAAATATGTATTATGTCTGCAGGACTTTTGGTATTGAAAATGGACCATGTAGGTCCACGTCTTTGTATAGCCCCCATATAACGGTACCACCCGATATTCGGTATTTTGATGATTTTAGCGACATTATTTGGTTTAGCGACATTAATGGTATTTAAAGTTCGAAATAGATACTACGGTTTAAGATAGAAAATAGACGATGTACATCCACGTCTTCGAATAGCCCCCATATAACGATACCACCCGACATTCGGTATTTTGATGATTTTAGCAACATTATTTACCGGAATTGTTTCAAAAATGGTATTTAAAGTTCGTAATAGATACTACGGCTTAAGACAGAAAATGGGCCATGTAGGTCCACGTCTTCGTATAGCCCGTATATCGTATAACGGCACCTCCCGATATTGGATATTTTGATTATTTTAGCGACATTATTTACCGGAACTATTTCAAATTTAGTATTTGAAGTTCGTAATGAATACTACAGCCTATGACAGAAAATTGTCTGTGCAGGTCCACGTTTTCTTATAGCCCCCATATAACGGTACCCCCGATATTCGGTATTTTGATGATTTTAACGACATTATTTACCGGAATTAGTTTACATTTTGTATTTGAAGTTCGTAATGGATACTCCAGCATATGCCAGAAATTGTCTGTGTAGGTCCACGTTTTATAACCCCCATGGTACCTCCTTATATTCGGTATTTTGATGATTTTAGCTACATTATAAACAAATTTTTTTCAAGTTTCGCATTTGAATATTGCAATAGCTTGTGACAAAAGTTGCCTATGCTGGTCCACGTCGTACCCTAATATACGGCTACATTCGGTATTTTTAAGATTTTAACAGAATTTTTAATGGATTTTATTTTTTTTGAAAATTGCCAAATTTTTACCAAATGGTGCAGCTTTTTTACTTGTTTTAATTTTATTGAATGAAAGCAAAAAATGTTGAAAATAGCATCAAATTTTAGAATAAGTTTAGATTTGTTCGAATTGGTCACCTTTGGCTCGAATATCACGAATAACTTTTTTTCTGGAAAATTCTCATCAAAATGCTTTTGTACGCTTGTAAACAATATAATGAAATGTCACTGGAATAATTTTAACAACTATCGGAACAGTGGTTTAGAAATGACAGCAGTCTGAAGATTGTTGCAGTTTTTTCATCTCACACTGTACATGTACCTAATTTTGCTATATATCCCATATTTTAGCATCACCGTAATTGTCAAAAGTGTATATATTCACGGCTTAATGAAAATTTTCGTATTTTTATACCCTTCACCTTGGAAAGGTGGTGTCATTCCGTTTGTAACATCCTTAAATATCCGTCGTAGACCCCATAAAGTATATATATTCATAATCAGCATAAAATTATAAGACGATTTAACGATGTCCGTCTGTCTGTTGAGATCACGATACAGAACACATTATTTGACGTAGAGCGTCAACATTTATCAGAACAATTTGTATTGTGTCTACGATGGTTGGTATTGAAAATGAGATATATCGGTTCACGTTATGGTATAGTCCTCGTATAATGATTTTTGCCACATTTTTTCACGGATTTGTCTGAAATTTGGTATTTGTAGGTCACACAGGGTTAGTTGGCGGCGAAACATTGCATGTATAGGTCCACGATTTGGTATAGCTTCCATATAATGGTACCTCCCAATATTCGGTATTTTGATGTTTTTTTTCCACATTTCTTCCCGAATTTGTCTAAAAATTAGTATTTGTGTGTCCTAATGGGTTCTAGCTCCGTTGGCGAAACATTGTATGTATAGGTTCACGTTTTTGGATCCCATATAGCAGTACCTCCCGATATTCGATATTTTGATGATTTTTGCCACATTTTCCCATGTGTCTAAAAATTGGTATTTGTGGGTCATGTGGAACTTAATGTTTTTTTTACTTGTTTTACATAAAAGTTGTGATTTATGCTACCCGCCAAATCTCCGATGACCGTCCAATTTGGTTGACCCCTGCCCAGCCCTAAACTCTGACTCCATACAAAATTCCGCGTCGATCAGTTTATAGTTGAGGCCTGTAGAGCAACAGCAAAATCATAACATTTTTCTGTTTTTGTACATTTCAACTCCTAAATGTTTTGGGATCAATCTGCAAAAACAATAGGCTTCTATTCTGACCCTTACCCCACCTCTATTTTCAATTTCGTGAGGATAATAATTCCCATAATTGCGACGGACGGACGGACATACATAGTTAGATCCACTCAGCTCGGCGAGATAGAAAGATCCATATAAAGTTTTCTATATCGGAGACCAATATTTCAAGGTGTTACAAAATTTGTGGCCTAATCAAACTTAAGGTATGCCGGAAAACTTTATGAAACTCTAAAACATGATATGAATATTTGTTTCTTGTTCTTAATATAAGAGGTTTCCATGTCCCATCGACATATTATACTCACCCAAAATTTGGTCACTTATTCTAAACGTACATTTATTCTAAACATATTTTTCTTAGAATTACAAAATAGAGACTGACCTAGGTTGAGTTTTTCTTCTATAAAAAGTTTTATTGATATTTATGGATATTTGTGAACGGGGCTAAACAACTATATAAGAGGGTTTTAAATGAAGTACAAATTTTTCCAAGTTTTCATATTTAAGTTTCATCTCAAAATAACCCATACATTTTGCTTGTAACACATTTGCATCGTCATTACATTTTCCAGCTTTACAATTCGCCGAAACCACCTGTAAAGAACAAGAACAAAAACGAAACTACTTCATTATTATTCATTAATTAGAACACTTAAACAAAATTCTATTGAATTTGCAAACGATGACGATGCAATTACAAATGAGTTTAAGCAGTCACCATAGAGTGAATACCTGTTCTCCGTTCATTCTTTTCTTTGACTCAAACGTCATGTTTCGCTAATTAGCTCCACTTGTCAATGTCTCACAAAAAGAAGGAACAAAATTGAAAACCAAAAAATCTGAATGGCAATTCAGCGCCATTAATTTTCACTTAATCTTCTCTTTCTTTCAGTTAATTTCGATCACTTCCAAATCTTGCGTGCCATTGGCAAAGGAAGCTTTGGTAAGGTAAGTAAATTGTCAATTTATAGTTATTTTGTGTTTAGTAGAAAAATTGTTTCCCAACTTTTTTTTTTTTGTTAAAAGAATTACGATTTACCTACAGAACTAGGTGTTGTTTTAAAAATAAAAGCACTATGTTAGGAAGAATACTTAAAAACATATTCGTTTTAAAACATTGTTCATTTAAAATTTTTATTTGAGACCATGTTTTAGAAGAAGTGGACTGTGATGATCCCCAATACAAGTTTCATGTCTGATCCCGCACGGAGAGTGTCGCCTAAATTTTCTTAGAGACATTTAAATATCCGTGGCACAATGGAAATGGCACAAATGCAATGGCTTGGAATCCAACAAAGCTTGATAAGCGACTTTACTTTCACTAATGCATTCCTACACTCCAAAACTACAGGGTGAGATAACAAAACTGCAACAAAGTCAAACGACATAAAATTATTTTTTTTTTTTTTAATTTTAATGAATGAAAGCAATAAAATGTCGGAAATAGCATCAAATTTTAGAATAAGTTTACATTTGTTCGAATTGGTCACCTTTGGCAAGAATTATGGCTTTCAAACGGCCAATGACGGCCACACACTGCCCGAATGTTGTTCTGCGGTGTCTTGGCCCATTCCCGGCGAAGCGCTTGCTTGAGGTTATCGACACTTTGGTATTTTTTAGTGCCAACCTTGCCTTCCAAAATACTCCAGACACAATAGTCCAACGGATTGGTATCCGGAGATTTTGATGGCGATAATATTCGGCATTTATGTATTCTGATGCCACGGTCGATTAATACGAGAGCGACCATCGGCTGTTGTGGCGGCCCACACCATCACCATGGCCGGCGTTTGAGTTCTGGTTGGTGGCCAACTGAAGGTGCACATTTTCTGCTGACCTCTTTGATAAGTAAATATAATCACTTTGTTTGTTTACAAACTGCTGGACAACGAATGTTTTCTCATCGAAAAAAAAAACAAATTTATCTCTTTTGAATTAAAATAATTTCTGTTGCGGTGTAAGTTCTTGCACTTTTGGAATTTCAATGGCTTTACCCCGAGTTCATTTTTCAATATTTGCGGGCTTAGATCAAATCGCTTCTTTACTTTTCGAACCATTTCTGCTGATGTTGCTGTTTTCTTCCTCCATTTCCTTGACGTCGGGCTACGCTACCAGTATCGCGGTAACGAGCGATGGTACGAGACATAAAAGATTTTTTCATTTTATAATGCTGGAGTGCTCTAACGATAGCCACTTGTGTTTTCGAGCCAAATATAAAGAAATAACACTATCACTCAATCACACTATTCTCACCAAATTGCTTTTGTACGCTTGTAAACAATATAATGAGATACAATGAGAGTTGGTTGCAGTTTTTTCATCCCACCCTGTACATTAGATTTGATAGTACATTTAGAGATTTCAGGGCCGTCTGACTATCGACGTATATGGTATCCAAACCTGTTTCTATTTGCCAACAGTTCGATGTTTTTCCTTTAGATAGCAAATATTTCTGCCTGGAACACGCTACAGTTGTTGTTAAGTTTGCACCCGTTCCACTTTCATTCTTTGAACCATCTGTATAGACAGCTGAACCGTTTGGAGGTGGGTTTTACTGGTCCGGAAATCCCTGTCGAGTATGTAGATGTGTCGTGGTTTCAAGTTCAGTCGAAGTAATGTAAAATCACAGGTTTTGACCCCACCTCCTGTGTTCCACATGCCCTTGACATCTCCAAAATGCACCTGTGATAAATAAATAAATGTTTCTCTTGTAAAATTATTTCCCTAATGAGTGCCACCAAACTAAATTTTCATAGTAGAGAATTGGATGGTCAGTCTGGTGGTGAGAAATTCTAAGTTGAGTTAATAGCGTTCGGTTAATTGATCAAAATACCGAAAGGGTTTTCTTAGGGTTTCCAGGGCAACATTTTTTTAGGGCCCATTGCATACATACTTTCCTATATGGGAAACCAATATTTCGAGGTGTTACATAAATTCTGGCCCAATCAAACTTATAATACCTCCAACACATAGTGTTGTAGGGTATAACAAGTAAAACAAGTAAAGAAAGTCTTAAAGTCGGGTGGGGCCTACTTAATGATACCCTACACCACTTTGCTAATTTAGTAGAGCTGCGCATAACAATTAAAAGTTTTTATGGGAGAATTCAATCATATACGCTATGAGTATAATTATAATGTAATAAAAGACATAATACCCTGACCACTTTGTGGTGTAGGGTATAAACATTAAGTTTGGAAGGTCGGAATATATACCCTCCACTTTAGGATAAAGGAAACATTACAACCCATTATAACCCACAAATACCAATCTTTAGACACATTCATGGGAAAATGTGGCAAAAATCATCAAAATATCGTATATCGGGAGGTACCGCTATATGGGATACAAAAACGTGAAGCGAAGAAATGTGGCAAAAAACATCAAAATACCGAATATCTGGAAGTACCATTATATAGGAGCTATACGAAAACGTGGACCTGTACATACATTATTTCAACAGACAAACAGACATCGTTAAATCGACTTAGAATTTTATGCTGATTATGAATATATACACTTATTGGGGCCTACGACGAATATTTAGGTGTGTTACAAACGGAATGACAAAGTTAATATACCCTCCTTTCCTATTTCCGAGGTCTTGGCCTGGTTGCTCATACAGCAGGAAGAGGAAAGTGAAGATCAAGACACTTACAGTTGTCCTCAGATAGAATAAAGTATTATTTCTGTTCAATTCGTAAGTAATTATAAACTATCGCCCTTTTATCCGATGGATGTCGCGAAATAGTGTCTGCACACGCGACACCTTAATTTATCTTCCTTGACGCCATCGTGACGATGGAAAGTAGACAACAGTAGTTTTGTTATTGTAAATGTACATACTATCGAATTTATAAGGATTAGAAGCGTCGCAGAAGTAGCATCTTAAAAAAGGAGTGAGTGACTCACTGCCAAATGCTTGCAGGTATGTTTATTTACTTCTCGTCTCATTTTGGTCGACCCTGGTAAGGCATTCAATTCCGTAGTAAGGCTCATTTCGGCACCACCAAAGATGAATAGAACTTACTTTGGTTTGATTAACTTGATTAACATCAAGGCCATTAATTTCAGTAATCAGAACTACACATTTTCCTGAAAAGAGAGTTTGTATTTAGCATGCACAGTCTGCATGAGCATGACAAATCTTTATCTGATTTCCATTGCTTAATTAATTTTAGTCGCTAAATATGTAAATGTGCTCATACATTTTTAGCGGCTAAAATTAAAATTTTAATTACTCAATTTATTATCATACTTTGTGCAACATAAACAATGTTAAATAATAAATTTCATTAAATTTTATATTCTGAACATTAAAAACAACAAACAGTGTAAACACTTTTAATCCTCCCTCGCAACTTACATCATCGAAACTAGTCAACCTTCATCGACTGCAATCTCTCATCACAGACAGAGGGGGTTCATTCAACTAACGGTTTCTATTACATTGCGACTCTCATTAAAGCTCGTTAATGTTCGTATTTATGTTCGCTCTCTATTCCTGGTTACCGATAAAGTTTCCAGCCATGACAACAACGGCAGACTCCTTAATTTATGCCAAGCATCCCAAATGCCAAAAAGAGAAAACGAACGAAAACATTGCCTCCGTATATTTATAGCTTGCTGTCTGACTGACTGACTGAACGGCTGACTCACTGACTTTGTTGAACCCCCCACATGCATAGCTAACGGCGCCAAGCACTGAAGTGATTTCATTCAATGATTTGAATTACAACGAATTATGAATTCGTTATGATAATTTGCAATTTGTATAACAACGTGACGTTGCTTCGAGTGTCCTTCGAGTCGTGGCAACAGTCGAAGTCAATAGCCATTGTAACTGTGTCGGTACATCGTTATTACATTTCAACAAAATTTCCACTGAGGGCCTCTTCAGCATTCATGAGAGTGTAAAATTTAGGCGTGAATTGTTCTGTTCGGCTAAAGGCAAATACACTGGTGGCCAAAACTAAAGCAACTAAAATAGCAAAGACAATAAATGCCCTGTAACTTCTACAAAAATGAACAAATCGTAATTATTTTTCCAGTTTTAAATGAGGTACTTAATTCACTTTTAAAAGACTAAAAATAAAAACACAAAAATAGTTTTGAATGAAAAATAATATATGGAAAACTAAAATGACCCAATTTTTGCTTGGTCAAAACTAAAGCAACTTTTTGATTTTTTATTTTGAAATAATTAAATTTTGGCTAGTATCCATCCATTATTTTTGATAGCAGCTGCACCCCTACCAGGCATTGAATCTATAACACGCTCAATTTGATCCTTGGGTATGCTTTTCCAAGCACCCTGAATTCTTTAGAAAATGTTGTGTTTATTTCTTTCCGAATCTCGCTTGATCTTCCTTGCTACGGTACTCCAAAGGTTTTCTATGGGGTTTAGGTCAGATGATTGTGCCGGCCATGACAAAACACCGATTTTTGACCACCGCAACCAATCTTTGGCAAGTTTTGATGCATGTTTGGGATCGTTGTCATGCTGAAACGCCCAAAAAAGCCAACTACTTTCCTCAGCGGAAGGGAACATCGTGATTTTTAACACATCTTTGTAAACAAACCGATCCATAACTTCCTTTATTTCATGGATAGGCCCAAGTTCACAGAAAGAAAAAAAGTTCCACACAATTTTTGTCCCTCCCTCATTTCACTGTACCCTTGCCACACTGCGGCTCGTAAAATTATTCATGTCTGAGCCTTTAATATTAAACGTAGACTCATCCCATTGTGCTGGATTCCGATTAATATTATCGTTTCCGAAAGCCGTCCTGGCTTTCCGATTTTTTCAGATATAAATGGCTTTTTTTGATGGCTTACGGACATGCAGACCAGCTGCCACCACTCGTCTACGCACGGATCATGAGCTCAAATCCAATGATCTCTCTCTCACCAATCCAGTTGAACTCTTAAATTGTTGTTTTTTATTT